AGAGCGGGGCCGAGAGCGGGGCCGAGAGCGGGGCCGAGAGCGGGGCCGAGAGCGGGTCCAGAGCGGAGTCCAGAGCAGGGTCCAGAGCGGGGGCAGAGTGGGGGCAGAGCGGGATCGAGAGCGGGGGCGTGAGCGGGGGCGGGCGGCGCTGGTGGCAGCGGTCGTAATATCGCCTGGCGGTGCGCCAACCGCACACCGCGTCCGCCCTCGCCACGATATTGCCGCGTGTCCGCCACACCCGGCGCGGCTCCTGCGCCCTTCGCCGCCCCCGCGGCTCCTTCCGACATCATCGCTGGGCGGGCACTTCTCAAAACGCACAAGAACACGAGGACGTGGCAATCTGGGGCACCTTTTTATCCGCCTTTCTGAGCAACTCGTACGCTCTTCCGAGTCTTAGGAAGCTGAGGATAGGCTTTCGCGTTCGAGGTCCGTATCTTCTTGGCTGTCCCTTGGCTGACGCTACGCATTTGCCCTGAGGAAGGACGCAGCATGGCAGCCGAAATGGTGGCATCTGTTCCTGGCACGCGGCACCTTTTTATGGACTTCTTTGTTATTTACAGTAGAACTCTGCTAATCTATTAAAAACAAACTTTGTGGTTTGACTATTATAGTTACTCTTTATTTATTATTATGTTGATAATACGAGTCTTTTCCATATTCATTAATTTTATCTCGTAACTCGGGACTTTCGTTAATTCCCTAGTAATCGCCTCTCTTTAAAATCAATTGCACTTTCATTAAAATAAACATCAGAATAGAGTACAATATGTTGTACGCTAACTTCATCAATGTATACCAACAATCCGCTCGTCTTTATTTAAAAAAAAATGAAATGTATTGCAAAGCGTCTACATCATTTAAGAAAAGGATAAACATTCGTAAGAAAACGAGTATTTTAGGGAACAACAGTTTGCTTTGAGAGAAAAAAAAACTTGTACACATATATGTAATTTTAAACGAATCCCGCGGAAGTTTATTTAAACGTGCCACTCACAAGTTCTGAAGTCTTCTGTAGCCTTTTGTGACTAGTCTCAATGGAAGACTCATAAAGTAAAAATGACTCATTGACTCGTCCGACACACATGAAAACATCCCAAATGTTGGAAATGTCAACACCTATAAGAATTAAATATGTATTACGTGGAAAAAAAGATAGAGATTTTTCAAAATGTGTAGATTGTAAAATGTAAATTGCAAACGTCGTTGTCACTTGGCAGCGCAAATATTTTGCAGTTTATTAATGTTTTATATGAAAATCAACACATTTTAAATTTTATAATGTAAATACATTTTTGATGATTCCAATAATACGTGAAGGGAACATAATTGTCTGTCTGATATACCTTTCTCGTACAATATTAGTGAATAAAATCTTTCTATTAAAAGCAGAAGCAGCACACAACGTATACTTTTGCTTACACTGATGCTATTTACGTATTCTTACAAATAAATATAGGTGATGAAAGTTAAGACGTGGTAGGAAAATGAATTCAGAAGTTATCACAAACTCTCATAATGCATTAATCGTGGATACGTCAATTATATCATAATACTTTTTAGGCTTTTAGTATGCTGTTGGATATTTTATTTGGACGAGGAGAGACATGTATGCGCTCCAAAATTGCAAACACATGGTTTTACTGCTCGCGAGAACATGTGTACGCCATTAAAGAAAGCGCAACTCTGTTTACTGCAGCCTGTTAGCGATTAAGGAAATCCGCTTGTGGTTTTTCTACTGGCATATCACTCTCCAGCGCTGACTCATGGATTTGTTTCACTTCATCTCCGATGCATAAACATTTTAGTGAAGAGGGTAGAAAGAAATATCTACCAACTAAGAATGATAGATCGGAGAAACAGAACATGTGATTTGAATGAAAAACTTTTGCTGATTGAAATGAATAAGGTCTACTCATGTTGCTGAAATTTAATATATTAAAGTGAAGTTTGAGGCTTGAGTTGGTGGTGAATATGTGACATCATAGTCAATCGAAATGATGTTGACACTGTTTTTTAAAGAAACTGAAGTATATCTGTAGAATAGTACATTCAATTTTTATCTGTCATAGAATGTTTTGTCATTGACAAATCTCTTAATGAAGCAGTGGGATTGTGAAAAATCGATTTAATATGACATTTGATCTGACAATGGGGAAACTTGTAAAAGTAATTTAAGGATGTTATTTTACAGAAATATTATTAAGAAGTTATTTGATTCGATGGTGGATGACTTGCTACTTGACCCATAGAGGACAATTAATGTCGGGTGAATACCCGTCGAAAGACTCATGGAATCGGATTCAATGGTCCTAGGACCTCAGTAATTTAGTTCTAGGGTTCACCATTAAATCGGCGTATTATTCTTTAGAAACTGGATAAAACTAAACACAACGATATGCCAAATTTGCTAACATCATACATGTCAATACTCCCAGTTGTCACATTTGGATCGTAATCTTTTTGTTTATACTGTACTAAAATTAGTGGAAACTTTATTTCAAGCCTCGTTAGTGCACGAAAACCGGACAAATAGTAGCAACGTTTGTTCCGTCGTAACAAACAGTACATCAGGCAGTGAGAATAAAGTATAAAATTGCGATTGGAATCTTTGATGTTACAAACAATGCCTGAATTGTTTGCGAGTATACAACCCCAACGTTCTGTATTTTGAACCAACAACAAAGGAACCATTATATTTTGAAGTGCCTTGTCACCCGTCGAGTACCACTTACGTAAGCTTTGGCGAGCTTGTAGACGTTGTCGAGCAGGCTGGCCGTCGTGTCGTCGATGAACACCTTGGCCACGCTCTTGTTGGCCATGCGGCTCAGGATCTTCTTCTGCGCCCGCAGCCCGATGTCACGCGCCCTGAAGCCCTCTGACATCACTGCAACAGACGCGCGTGTTCGCGTTAGCAGGCTGCCTTCACTCCAAGGAAGAAATTATGATGGAAAACGACTACCCTTTTTCGTCTCTTTGCCGAAGATCTCGAAAATCATACAAGATAGGAACTCACCAGGTAAATAAATACAAATATAATGCTCTCGGAAACAATTTGCGAGTATACAGGAACTAAAAAAAATAATACAAACGTAATTTAGAAATATTTCCAGAAGGAGTAGATTTCTAGAAATATATTTTGCTATAAATATTTAATAAGTAATGTAAATAAATCTATGTGGGTTAAAATGAATTCACACAATTCCGCCTTATGACATGAAATTACGGTATTTCGCATATTAATACTTTGGAAATGACTTTCAAGTACCGAGTAACGTTAATTAAATAATTCAAGAACATAATTGCTGGCAGCGATTAATGATTACAATTGATTGCTTGCATTAATATGGTTGTTAGACTAACTAGAAATGCAAGTATAAGGATGTTTCTTTTATCCTGGATGATTGATTTCTATGGATCACTAACTAGATATAGTCGTGATAGAGCGGTTATTCTGACACGTCGTATCTGCGTTTGCTCCGACTTGTTCCAGGAGGATCAGGGCGATTTACACACAAAATGGTCCCGAACGGCACGAAATTCTCCCTCCTCATCGTCGCCTTACCCTGCCCAATGCAGCACCATTTGGGGGTGGCGACCCTGGTCTGGGCAGATTCTCTTATAGAGAGAGATATTGAATACTCACGGCATAACATGATTGCGCTTCAATAAATGTAAATTGCAAAGCAGAAAACACTGATATATAAAAAAAAAACAATATTTATAGTGTGAATTACGTAACGATTCCCTCCGAGGATATAAATAATATTCCAGGAACGTGCAAACACGTTATGCAACAGCACGACAGAACCCAACCAAGAAAGGATCGTAACGTTTTGCGCACGCCCGTGCGCGCGGGTTGGCAGAGCGAACGGGGCTGACAGTGTTGGGATCGTCGGCGGCGCCCGGTGACAGCGCCCCCATCATTATGCAGCGGCGACAGCAGCCGCGGCGGCGGCGGCGGCGGCGGCAACGCTTGTTATAAATAACGATGCGATGCAGGACTTCAAAAGAGCGCAGTGGTTGTTAGGGTGACGAGCTATCGGCGGCGGCGGCGGCGGCGGCGGTGGCGGGGACGTACGAGTCCAACGTGTGACACCGCCAGCGTTTGGGGGCGGCGGAGCGATGAGTGAACGCCATCGGCACAATGTTCGCATTGTATTGTGTACATCGGGGGCTAAGTGGTAAAAACTGCGGAATCACAACGCTTTTTTTACGATTTGCTTTCTCCCTCTCTCTCTCTGCCTCTCTCTCTCTCTCTCCTCTCTCTCTCTCTCTCAAAAAAAAAATGCGTTCCTATTGCAATTTGACGGATCGTCAGGCTTTCATTACATTTTTGAATTTTCATTCATAATAATAATAATAATAATAATAATAATAATGATAAGAATAATAAAACCATTACAATATTTGATGTTAAACAATTATTTTGATACACTTTCCAGAGTTATTACAATAATCACGTTTACTAACATGCATTTTCTTTATCACTTCCATATACACAACATTCGTGCTTACGAAGCACGTATGTGGTATTAAAACGTTTAGAGGAAGACGCTGAACAGAAAAAAACGTTCCGCAAACACAAAATGTGAGATGATGAGAATTATGTTTAGAAGTGCTATTAACGTACTTTAAATCCTCTTCAAAATGTATATTATGATTGTATGATCTTACCTAGTATTGCTAATAATAACAATATTTCGAGTTTTAGAAGAAATTAGATAATAAAAACTTATTTTCGTGACTTACTGTACTATAGGCGTAACATGCTATAATATTCAACGAAATTCAAAACGGGGAATGAGACAGCATGATAGCCACTTTCGACATGAATGCAATAACCATGAGGCGCGTGGAGGGTATAGTTTAAAACATAATATATAATAAAGAATAAAATTATTTCTAGAATCCCTTGAAAGATGAATACGAATGGTAATTACGAATCTTGAATATTTTTCATTATGATTTACAAGTCTTGCATATTTTATGAGATCTATATCCTCCAATTTTGACACAAATAACATAAGAAAAGTCGGTTAATTAGACTTCACCGTAAAAACTGTACTTCGAATCTTTATTTGTAGCTAAATTCACTTAAATAATGATAAGAAAGTCATTGCAAATTCAGTCTTAAATTTCAGGAACTGGGTCACGATAAGCGGCCCGGATAAGCGTTTACGAGGGCGGCAGTGTGGGGGCGCTAGCGCAGCTTGTGACCCCATAAGGAAACTGTGAGAAGAGAAGCTGTCGGTTTTACATGCAAATAGGGAGGTCAAGTGCAGATGAAGTGCTGCGTAACTGGAGAAACTAAAACGTATTCACATAAGCCCCACTTATGCATGATCTAGAAAAGTAGGAATAGAAAAGTAGTTAAGAGGGTGAAATTTTAAGGGTGGAGTTCCCTAGGCAACAGATTTTTATTAATTGGAAGTTTGAAAAGCAGAAGTGTAAATGAATTATAGAGGGAGAGATATAACGAGAGCACTGAAGGCATATTAATTTTGCCTTGGAAGAATTATATTGTGAGAGACAAAGACGAAGGTGATAATTCATGTGCGAGCACGCACGGAAGTAAAAGAAAGATCAAACAAAGGAAAACGACGATAATACGAAGGCTGGAAATAAACATTTTAAGTGAATAGATATTTAAAAAATATTGGTATTTAAAATGGCAGAGTGGACTTAAAATATTTGGAGGTAAACTCAAAAGGACAAACATAAACGTACTAAGAAACAACAAAAGATATAAGTAACCAGGTGAATTTTGTGCCCAAAAACGATTCTCACCAAATGTACTTAAAAAATAACAAATACGTTGACTTTGACACGAAAAATCTGCTAAATTAGTTCAAAATCGGAGGAACAACTTTGATACAACTCGTGATATAACAACTTGAAGGAATATGCCACCTTTACAACTTACCAATGATATCCCGGAGTAAAATGAACCGAGGAGTACAACAATTTGGTGGGTCAGAATCGAGCTAGAGCAGGCAGAGCGAAAATAAAAGACCGCTAGAAACTTTGTCACATGAGCAAATAATACGAGAAGAAAATCATGTAAAAAATTAGGAAGATCTTTAAGTTGATATTAATGCAAAATTGCTTGCAGAACACAAACGTGATAACTCGCCCAATACGAAGAAAACACATTCAAGACGAAAGTCAGAGGGTAAGAGAAATGAACAAAGCGGGACCGGAAAAGGGAATAGCGAACGAGGCGAAGCCGGAGCAGAAACGGTGGGGGCGAAAGGCCGTGAACGCGGAAGCGGTGCGAGGTGAGGGGGCGGGGCGGTTTACTGCCTACTATCGGACAGTTAATCCACACTTCTCCCGGCGGAGTGCGCACTATCGCGTTTTACGTCGCAGCCACCCCCCCCTTCCCTCTTACGTCCTCGCCTGCAGCCAACGAATTCGGAGCTCCCGCCAGCCAGCGGCCCCTGAGTAAGCGTTCATAAGGTTATACGAGCGACAGTCGCCCCCCCCCTTCACATCACCTCGCCCCCTGGCGGCACTCTTGCTTTTACGAAGCGCGGTTATCGGTTCTCGTATGACCCCTAGTTCAAGCCCTCGCTACCCTTTTCTCGTGCCAAGACGTCGTCTGCGCGTCGCTCTCCTTTCAGTTCTGTTTATTTTTCGATAGTTTTGGGGAATCCGTTCCAAGGGAAACGTTCTGTGAGGCTTTAGAGACTGCATAAGAGGATTTGGATACCCAAATCAAAAAGTGCATTTATTGTTGCACATAGGATGAAATCGAGATGTACATTGTAAACATAAGCTTCGTGTTTGTACTGTGGTAATTTTAGAAGTTTCTATATTCATAGACACGATCAAGCAAGTGAGGATAGAAACGATAACATACTTCATGCCACAGAAAAACTATAACGCATGGAAATAACTACGGGAAACCATAATATGTTTTTCCGCCAATTCTTTCAAGACGATACATATATCCAAAAGATCAGATGGTAGCTTCTGACAAAGAAGCAGCTGTTTGTGTCTAAGAAGTCATCACTTCTTGCCTTGAAGACGACGTACATGGCTGGCGTAGTGTTTTGTTCCTCCCAAATATGAGGTGTACGGTGCTCCATCACGCGGCCTGACACCTTCCCCCCAAAAGAGACAAAGCGAGTTCCGGAAATTTACTAGTAGCGCGACACGACGGGGCGGTGTATATCGAGCCCGGGGGCCAGCCACTCGATGCCCTGGCAGGTGGAAAAGTTTGCCAAGAAACATTATCTCGCCGGTGCCGAGCCCCTTGGGGGCGACCGGCGGGAGCGCTGCCCCCCCGCCCCGCCTTCGCTCCGCCGTCCCGCCTCGGGGACGGTGCTGACGTCACTAACGACGTTAGGGCGCGATTAGTTACCTGCCCTTAATTACCCCCGCTTAACCTGGCTCGGCGCGCGGTCGAGGCGGCGGAAGTGACGGCGCTGCCGGAGGGGCGCCGGAGAGTTCTGGTCCAAAGCCGCGCACGCCGATGCCCAGGCGCCGGGGCCGGGACCCTGTTGTGTGCACGGCGAGGCGGTAATTCAATTTTTAGTTGGCAGGCGCGGCACCTAGGCTCCGGGTGGATCACATACGTCAGACAACCACCTGTTTAACAGGACGGGACGGGCTCATGCTATTATTTGAACTGTATTTTATTTTATTATATATTGTAATTCCAACAATTAATTACGATACCATTTCAAACAAAGAAACATAATAACAAAGCTGTTATTTAATATTCAAAAGAACAACCAGAAACCCGCTTGAAAAAGACAACTTACCAGAAATCAATGGAACATGAGAGTAATATTGGCCCCAAATTATCTCCAGAAATGTTGAAAACAATATTTTTTTTCGTTGTAAAGTAATCATAGATAATATTTCTCCCTAGTCAGT